GTTAACGTCGGTGCCAGTCACTCGTGACTTTCTGAAGTTCTCCCTGCTCAAGGTGGAGCGTTCCAGACTTGGCTTCTGCCCCACAGAAAATCTTTTTGATGTGTGCTTGCAAAAGTTTCAACAAGAACACTGGAACCACTTCCCAGGGGAGGCGGTTACAAGTTCCCTAGTGTAACCCCCCCCCCCAAACAAACATGTCAGGGGGTCAAACAGCTGCAGTGAGCAGTCTGGCAAGTGTCCTGGCACTACCATTATTATTTTTCCCTGAAGAAAGCTCCCAAATCTACAGAGAAGTTAACTGTAAAGTTTAAAAAAAAAAAGTTTTCAAAAGCAGCCTCTAATTTCGGGCATCTCCAGAGGCCCAATGGCTGATACCTGGGGCCTGATTTGCGTTTACACCTGACATTCACACCGTCAGCAAGCGCCATCGGTAGCTGCGCCGATGCGCAGAATTTCAGAATCTCTGGCCTTGTCCATCTCAAAGCTGAGCACCCAAAATGAAAGAGCCCCAAAAGAACAGGCCTCCTGAAAAACACGCAGGGTCCACGAAGCGCCACGGATTGAGGTAGGAAAGCGACTGGTGTTGGAAACTCAGACATGCCTCTCTCACAAATTAAGGCATGACCCCCCAAGGGTCACCGCTGCCCCCTTGTGGGCGCACACAAATCCTGCAGTCCTTACCTAGGCAGCAGAAGGCATCAGAACACACCTATGCACAACTTGACAGCACAGGCGATAAGATGACAACACACGATTGTCACTGGCACCAATTCCCATACGTCACATCTCCACTTTGCTGGGCCAGTCACATGTTAATTTGCACTTAAAGCTTTCCCCCCACCCCTGCCCCTCTTGGTTTCCTATTTTCTGCAGAAGGCAGCTGCCAACTCCCACACTGCCATTCACATGAGTAAGAGGAGCAGGCAAGATTAAACAAAAGCCAGTTTTACAAGAGACTCCTTGGCGCTGCACACTCTCCCCGAGCTGGTTCGAAAAACAAAATGCAAATCAAAGCTTTATCGCACCTTATGAAAACCCAAACCCAACTTGGATTTAGGAGGAGGGTTCCCTGATCTGTTGCTATACCCAGCTCCAAAAAATTGTTCTTTTTTAGTTGTACCACTTGGGTAAAATTAAGCTCAGGTCCTGCAGCTAGGTCCATGCAGACACCTGTGTCTATGCAGACCCTTTGCCTCCCAGCGAGGGTCAGTTTATGGACTCAGGGCCGAAGTCACTGACCATTACCTAGAAGACCAACCTGGCTGGGTATCCATCCTCAGCCATGTGCAACTCATTTATTTTTGCTTTCATATTTAAAAAGCTGGGTGTCTGCCATCTCTCACGGCAAGCTGAAAAAGTGTGAGTGTTCTGCCCAAACAGACCCGTCGCGCCCCAGCTTACAGGGCGTGCCGGGTCATTAACTGCTCCTTGTTTGCACTGCAGCGGTGCACTGAGGTTCCGTCTCTGAGCAAGCCAGGAGCAGCACGAACGTACAGTAACAGACACGCTCCCTGTGCGGAAAAGCTGACGGTCGGAAGCAACAGGCTGGTGGGTGGGGGGAGGGTGAAGAGGGGCCTCGGGGAAAGAAAACGGCACCACTCTGGTTTCACTGGGCCACGCGAGAGATTTTTAAAGCCATTCAGGCCTCGCGGCACATCACGCAAAGCCAAACGCTAATGACACTTCAGTAGCTTTACAAATCTTGGCCCAAGGCCACACGGGAGGTGCGTGAGGGAGCTGGAAATTGAAACCAGACCTCCCAAAACGCCACTCCACTCTCTGCACCACGAGGCCAGGCCTCCTCCTAAGCCCTGCTAGCTTCAAGCGAGTGGGGGGGGGTGCTTAGCACCTCCTAGCAGCAGGCCCTGGAAGCCGGCACTCCAGCATCCACACAGCCTTCAAGAGAAACACAACACAACACATCTGGGGCCTGAACCTGTGCACATTTATTTATCAGAGGCCTTCAAGCAGTGCTCCGCTCTGGGCTGCAACGCCAACCAAGTGAAGCCCCACGGAACCCCTGGGCCACTTAGACTCTGAGGCCAATTTTGAAAACGAGACTTCGGCACTGCAGCACCCAGAATTAAGAATCCGGGCCTAGGCTTAGCGCTGGGAGCAGCCTCCTTAGAAGTCACTGAAGGCGACTCATCGTGATCAGAAGCCCAATTTCTTCCTCCCCTCAACATCATCTTGCAGGCTTTTCTCCCTTTATGCCACAACCTCCAAAATATAAGGCATCCTGCTGGGTAAAGCTCTGGATAAAGCCCCCTTTAAAAAGCACCTGCAAATTACAATTCCTCTGAAAACAAGAATTCAAGGAACAAGCAGCTGCTAGACCCAGAGATTTTAAAAACAGACCAGCTCTGGAAACGGAAGAGGGGGGAGGTAACCCAAGGAGGTCAGCCAGCCAAGGACTGCAGGGTAGGGATAAGGGCAGCCAAGTGAGCATCAGGTGTTAATGCTAATCTGAACGGGCTGTGATGTGGAATAAACCAGAAGGCTCAGACATACTCGAACGGAAAGAAATGCTGGGGGTGGAATAAGTGCTGCTATCGGATGAAGAGGACGGAGGCAATGATTCAAGGTGGCTAAGAGACCGAACCACCTTCTCGATCTACACCAAGGAATCAAATGACAGATATCGCTAAGACAAGCAGAGAGTCCTTATAAAAAATATCTCCAATTCCCCAGGCCGTGCCGGAGGTGCCTGCTCGGGTTTCAACTGGGATCTCGTCACCAAGGGAAGTTAACCGGATGGGGGCCACAGATCCTCTTATCTGCTCTCTGGTAAGAGCTAAGAGACATGCACCCTACGAGAACAAGCAAACAAAGGTGTCACACCACGGAGGGTTCTATCGGAGGAACCACAAACAGTAGCAGGGTAAAAACAGAAAAAAAAAGACTCAGAACGAGGGATGCTGAATAGCGGTTCGTAAGCTAATCGAGTAGTCGATGGAATTTCCAACGACTCCTCGATTAGTCGATAAGGGGGCTCGCTGCAGCTCTTTTAAGCCGGCTCCCACTAGCACCACCTCCTGCACCAAGGCATGTGACTCTCAGATCTCCCTAGAGTTTCTGTTGTTCTGATCTCAAAATACACCCATCCGATGGTGGGGGGCGCCCCAGACTTGCAGGTTAAGTAGGGCCCAGCAGGACCGGGACGTGTTTAGGAGACCTCCAAGGGACACAATTTCTGCCGAAAGTGACATCGGCTGTTGAGCGAGGGGCATGCCTCCTGCACCAAGGCATGTGACTCTCAGATCTCCCTAGAGTTTCTGTTGTTCTGATCTCAAAATACACCCATCCGATGGTGGGGGGCGCCCCAGACTTGCAGGTTAAGTAGGGCCCAGCAGGACCGGGACGTGTTTAGGAGACCTCCAAGGGACACAATTTCTGCCGAAAGTGACATCGGCTGTTGAGCGAGGGGCATGCCTCCTTATGAGTCAGTAGGGTTGCTACTTTTCCTGCTGCCAGGTTAAAATTTGAGACTCATTAGCTCCAATGTTTTGGTCACGTTCCTTCTCCAGTCATTACATTCACCCTCCCTGAATTCCCCCTGCAAGCTCAGAGAGATGCGCCTGTTCTGAACGGCGGGGGCACGTTGCTGCGCTCCAATGTTAAACTGCTGCCACGCTGCACCCCAGAGGTGGCCGCACGTCAAGGTTGGAAGAAGCAATTCTGTATGGCCCACGCCTACCACACAGGAAGGCTGGTGGCTTAACCCTCTGGGCAACATTACGCACCCCAGCCATGGCAGAGAACAGCTGCGGAGGAGCACGACTGACCCCCCGTGGCTTTGGCCTAGCGTGAAGAGTCTTTCACATACAGAACAGCTGGACTGACTGTATCAGCGCCTGGGCTTTCCCAGGAGCGTGTCTGCCCTCTTCTGGGCTCTTCGGCGTACAGCCATTCCCAGAGAGGTTCTTTTCAAAGTACAGCCCCGGTCCCGCTCCGTGCTGCTCAGGAACTCAGACGGGCAGCAGGAGAGGAGCAGCAGAGGTGTGGCGGGAGCGAAGAGAAATTCAAGACAGATTTTCCTACACAAACGGCCTTTTCCTAGAAATGATTTGGGGAGGGGGGCTAAATATTGTTGATATTTTTAGGGTTTTTCCTCCCTCCCCCCCCCACCGTACGCCATGGCACCCAATGAAACGAACAGGCAGCAGGTTCCAAACAAACTTAAGGAACTTCGCCGCACCAGGGGTGCGCAACCTTTTTCCCAGCGCGACCCCCGGGGGCAGCGGGGGAAAGCCTTGAAATGCCGCCCGCTCGCCTGCCACACCGGGGAAAACATGGCAGCTGGCCCGGCACTGCGACCCCCGCAGAAGATAGCCGCAACCCCCAAGGGGGTCGCGACCCAGAGGCTGCACACCGCTGTGCCGCACAACGCACAGCCCACCTGTGGAACGTGTTCGTGGAGGGTAGGGATGCAACCCCAGGCTTTGACTGCCAGAAGCGGAGACTGGACGACAGGAGCGGGATCCTCGCTAACGGCCCTGTTCTGTTCATTCCCCGGGAGCACTGAGCATGGGCTACTGCGGGAGGGCAGGACACTGGGCTAGATGGACCATTGGTCTGACCCACGCGGCCACTCTCATAAAGCATAGGGAAGGGACACAGGCCCTAACTCCAGCTGCAGAAACAGCTAGAGGCCACTGGCCCCTCTGCAGTCCCTATGGGGCAGGGCTGGGGCTCAGTGCAAGGGGGAGGAGGAAGAGTCGCATGGCTGCCACCGATGCAGAACCCCAGAGGCAGTGCAGGTGTAACCACCACCGGATGGATTTGAACCTGGGACCTCTGGAGCGGAGTATAGGGGCCTCTACCCTCTGAGCTAAAAGCCAGGAAGCTCCCAGCCCCTGCTGTAGAGGTCTCTTGGTCTTAACTGTTGCTGTGGTCTAGGTCCCACTTGCATTGCTCAGCCCCCACACTAGGTGTGTGGGTGTAACAGGCAGCTCCCTTCCCCAGCACCACTCCACAGGCTCGCTCTGCTCCGGAGTTACCTTCACCTCCTGGCTCCCGAGCGGGTCCATGAGCTGCTCCTCCAAGGCCCGGAGTGATTCCAGCGCCAGCACCAGAAGGCGCTGCAGGATCTGGGAGGGGCAGAGAGCCAGAGGGTAGGACCAAGGAGCATATCACAGCCCCCTGCGCTGTGGGGGGACACCTCGCTAGCTGAGGGGGGAGGGGGAGCACCCAGCGAGACACTTGGGCCTCAGCCAGACAAGAGAGAGGATTGGGGGGGGAAGAGGGTGCAAGCGAGGGGAGGGAAGAGACTGCACAATGCCTGTGCCCAGCTACAAGGTGCGTCTGGAACAACGCTGACAGAGGAGGGGATGAGATGGGACCAGTTCAGGGCGGGAGATCTGAGGGGGAGCAGAAGTCACCCATGGGGGGGGGGGCTTCTAGCCCCCAAGTGCAGTGGGGGGGGGAGACTCCAGCCTCTCTCACCTGCGCAGAAGGCCGCTCTTTGGTCCACACCGAGCTCCGCTTGTCTCTGGGGGTGGCGATGAACATGACGGGGAGGTGAGGCCGGGCAGCCACAAACTCGTTCCTGATCTCGGCATAATCTGCCTCTGGGGAACGGAGCCAAAGCCAGGGTCAGAAACCCTGCCCCTCACCTCTGTCCACACCCAGCACAGTCAGCGGGGGGGTCCCCTCTGGAACCGAACCCCAGAACCCCGGACTGGCCAGGACCTCCCCGGTCATGGAATCCAGTCCTGTGCTATCTCCGGCAACCTAGACCCACAATCCCCTGCGTAAACCTACTAAGCTGCATGGTAAGTCCTGGGAGAGTCCAGAACCTCCCTCCTCCAGCATTTCCTCCTCATTTCCAGCAGAAACTGACCCTGAGCCAGTCTGTTCCCCTTAGATCTTGGGCCAACATCACCCTTTAGCTTCTGCAGCTCTTCCTCCGCCCCGAAGCTGGCCCCCTTCCCCGTGTATTTACAGAGAGCAACTGGACCCCAGTGTTCCCCAGAGGCTGAGCAATGGGCGGCCACCCAGGAGAGATTCAGGTGCCGCCCAGCTAATTAGCGGAGTGCCCACAGCCGGCAGCCTGTATTTCTTCTGGTGGTGCACATCTGCACATGCCTGAGTGCTCATAAAATTTATTCTGTGCACGGATGGAAAAAAAAATAGAGGGAGCCTTGCCAGACCCCTCCAGGCCTTTGTCTTGCTGAGCTAAATGAGCCAAACTCCCCTTGTAAGCCAGGCCCTGGAGCACGGGTGTTCAGAACAGGTCAGCGCACACACAGTCGGCACCCAAAGTGTGGAAGCAGAACGAGGGGACTGGTAGAATAGGGAGCAGCACACGAAGCCCACAGACCAATCCTGGCCAAGATGCTGCCCCCAGCCTGGCTCCAAGGTCACTCGCCACCTGTCTGAAGTTCGGGATTTGCACACCATTGCTGCGCACTAGTGCTGGAATCTCCGGTACCGCTGACCCCACCATCGGCGGCGGATGCCCCATAGCTATCTCTGACGCCAGCTGAAATAGCTTCAGAAAGCTCCAGCTTCCCCTTTGCTTATGACGACGAGATGGCTACCCCCGAGACCCGAGTGGAGACGGGCCTAGGAAACTTGCTAAGCAATAAAATGCAAAGAACCTCCCTTGCCCGGCCCCCAAACACCGCAGAGATTAAGACATTCAAGCCCACAAAGGAAATCTAGCCCAAGCGCCCGGCTCTTTGAATGGGAGAGAATGTGCCACTCTGGCTCCCAGCTAACCACTCTGCCCGGGAAGCTGTTCCCAGCTGTGCCTTCAGCTCCCACCTTCACACCGGCCCAGATCAGCCGCGGCTGAAGGGCAGCTTCTCCCAGGTTGGGGGCTGCAGTGACAGCAGGGGTCTCAATTGGGTTCTTAGCAAGGGAGCTACTTCCACCCTCGAAATGGCCAACCCAACCCGCCTCTGAACAGGGAAAGGTCAGGGGCTTGCTCCTCTTCCCACACATACAGAGATTGACCGAAGAGTCTTTGGAGGGGGTGTGACTGAGGTAAGGAGACCTTAAGGCAGGGCAGTATGCAGGCTTATAGACTCTATATGGAGATATACCTATCTCATAGAGCTGTAAGGGATCTTGAAAGGTCATTGAGTCCAGTCCCCTGCCCTCACAGCACCATCCCTGACAGATCTGCCCCAGATCCCTAAATGTCCCTTCAAGGATTGAGCTCACAACCCTGGGCTTAGCAGGCCAATGCTCAAACCGCTGAGCTATTCCCTCCCCCCACACAGCCCTCAATGCACCTCTCTCCTGACATGGAGAGGCCCCCCCCATGGATAAATTGCCAACCGCGACAGTCATTCTCCTCTCACCTGTCCACGAGAAGCGAGGCCCCATCGAGCCTATTCCACACAGCCTGCCCACCAGCCACAAGAGAGGCAGGCTGGCGGGGTCAGAGAGGGCCCCACGACCTTGTGGAGGAAGGTTCCACAGGCCCCGTTACCAACCCACGTCGCCAGTCCCCACACCCAGCGCCACCTATCGACAGTGCCACGGGCAGGGCCCTCCCTGAGAACAAGGCCGGGCAGGGTCTGCCGGCGTCGCTCGTCTCCTCAGGGCCGCGCCCGAGCGAAGGGCAGCCGGGATGCACAGCGCCGTGGGCCGCCCTCGACTCACCGTTGAGGTCGCCGTTCAGGTTAACGATGAGGGGGCTGTTCTTCCAGTCGAAGGCAGTCAGCAGGTGGAGGAAGCGAAGGAAGGCCACCTGCGGGGAGCTGCGGGCAAGACAGAAACCACTGTCACGGGGAGAGACTGCTCCACCCGCCCAGAGACGAGCGCCGGGCCCGGCCGCGGTACCTCAGCGAGCCCAGCTCTGCAGAGCCCTACAGGAAGCACCAGCAAGGGGAGCTAGGAAGGAGCCGCCTCACGGCCAGGAACCGTGGATGTTTCGGCCTCTCTGGGACCATTAAAGGGACCGTTCGCTAAGGTCTGGTCACGTCCCTGCAGCTCAAAACAAAGGATGGGACAAAGCGTTCTCCTCAGGCCTTCCTGTCACCTGTGTCTGCCTCACCCACAGAAGGGCAGTTCTGTCTAGTGGTTACAGCAGAAGGGCTGGAGAGAGCCACTCTTGCAGGGGTCAGCAAGGGAAAGGTCTCATAGCCCATGGTGGCTCTGGACCAGCTTCTCAGGACTCAACTGGTCCTAATTGCACTTCATTAACAAGCCATTTTAGTGACCGTGGGCCTGACCAGGGCAGGAACCAAGCCCAGCCCCTCCCCCGTGCCAGGGCAGACACCAAGCCCAGCCCCACTCTCTGTGCCCGGAGCAAACACCAAGCCCCACTGACCAGCCACCTCCCTCCCCGTGCCAGGGCAGACACCAAGGCCAGCCCTCAGGTCCTCCACCTAAAGCGGCCAGTGACACAGCGACCAGTGACCAGGCGGCGAGGCCAAGGATCCCTGGCGCTCACCTCGGCGGGGTGAAAGGCGCGGGGTGCAGGAACAGAGAGGCCGCCAGCAGGTCCACGCACTCGTCCGAGAGGCTGTCACTCAGCAGCTGGGCGCGGGCCCAGCGCTTGGCTAGCCGGGAGGCGCCGCCGAAGGCCGGGTGTTGCTGCTGCAGCCTGCAGAGAGAAAAGCAGCAGCCATTAAAAGGCAGAGCACTGCCTCAATAGCCCAGCCACCCCCATGGCCCCTGAGCGCACAGCTGTGAATGGATGGGGCAGTTGCTGCCAGCACTGGATTTGCAGGGGTTCCCTGGAGCGGGAAGGGGGAACGGGTCGGTCTCCCGCCCTCCGCAGTCTGGCTCCTGCCACTGCTGTTAGTCTCTGGGTAGCAAAGTGTCTAGACCCACCCGTCACCTTCACTGGAGGGGAAGGGAGCAGAAAGCTGCCAGCCACTTCCCTACCCATAACGCGCCCCTCTCCCTTCCCTGCCCTCCCACAGGGCTCTGCCCATCCCTTACAGACGGGAGGAGCTGAAAGGGTCGGTTCTGCTTTGGGCAGGGAGCTTGACTCGATGACTCCTGAGATCTCTTCCCACCCTGGGATTCTATGATTCGAAGACCAGTTCCCTACTGAGACACTGAGCCATCAGCAACCAACAGGCTGAATAACCCAAGTGCTACCTTTCTAGACATAGCAATACCATATGTAAATGAGAATTAAGTTCATTCTCCATAAGGAATGGCCCTCTAAAAACCGGGACCCTTTGCTTTGGCAGCATCTGCAGTCTGGCGGGACCACACATGCTCCAGGGCCAGAGAGCTCCAGAGGTTGGGAGGCAAGAGGATCTGTAGCCAGGAACCCTGCCGGGGCCAGAAACCCTAGCGAGGCCAGTGGCCCGCGTGGGATCAGCATCAGCCTGGAGGGTTGGCGGCAGCTGGGGCTGGGAGCCAGGAAGGGGGACCCGAATTGACCTCCGCGGGTCCAACCTGCACTAGCTAACGAAGGCTTGTTGGATAGAGTTGAGCTTTGAGATGCAAACTTGCATTGCTAGAGAATTAGCGGTAAATACTAAAAAGGTGTTTCTTTATATCTTGTTAGAGGTGAACAATGTAACCAAAAGGTTCCCGGTTGTTACCATGTTCTATTGCGAGTGGTGAAAGGAATATTAACATTCAACGGGAACTCGGTTGCAATAGTGTGGGCGTCTATGCTTCCCTTTGAAGTCTGTAGCAGTCTGTCTAGAACAGCTTAATAGAAAATTACTTTCCGCTGATGAATGCAACTAGTTACCTGGGTATACACAAGAAACAGGAGGGTTTTTTCTTGAAAAGCCACACGGCTTCCCCCAGGAAATGCTTGTGGTCACGGGGCTATCGGTAGCCTGCCAGAGATCTATAAAATCTCTCTCTCAGATCTGCTGACACTTCAACAAGGGACACTTGAGTCATGCCATTGCAGTCTCCCGCTCCAGTCTGGATTTCACTGCTAATTCTCATGGAAGAATCGGGACCAACCCACAATGTGGACTGCACATTTTGAACTATGGCTGGTGTGACAGGGTGTTGCCCTGCCCTGGCCCTTTAAGGGACCAAGGAGCTGGAGGGAGGAGAGCCCAGCCGAGGGCTAGAAGAACAGCTCCTGGGAGGAGAGCGAGCGACCTACCTGCTGCTCTGGAGGAGACCTGATGGCCAGGGAAGAAGGAGGGTCCCTGGAGGAGGGAAGGACTGGGGAGGCTCAGGCAGGAGAAACCCAGGCTACACGCCGGAGGCCCAGTGCTGCATAGGAGGCAGCCATGAAGGGCTTGGGTGAGCATAGGAGGCAGCCACAGCTGCACAGGAGGCAGCTGCAGTAGGCTGGGGGAGGCTGAGCCAGGGAAGCCCCAGGCCATAAGTCCGGGAGGCAACCAGGAAGGCAGAAGCAAGCCTGTGGCCAGGGAGTAGGGGCCTAGAGGTCCTGCGGCCTGCCCAGAGGGGCTGTTAAGGGCAGAAGACCTGAGGCCAGGATGGTACGAAGGGAGCTAGGAGTCCCCGAGAGAAAGAACTGGGGGTCCCCGGGAGTAAAGAGGACCCTGAAATATAACAAGGGGAGTGCGGACGAACTGTGCGGAGCAGCCGGCTACTTCCCCCCCAGGAGGCCACCCAGGAAGGAAGAGCCGGGCGAAAAGGAAAAGTGCATGAACCCGCTACACCTGACAAAGAGTCTGAAAAGCAGTTTTCGCAACTCAGCGGCTCCTCAGCCCTACTCTGACCAGCTAGCTAAGAGCGCTAGTTGTATCTGTAGCGTGTAGTGATCTTTTAACCACAATACACAATCCTTTTTTAAAAAGGAATCTTAGTTAATAACAATTGGCTGTAAACATCCCTTTGGGTAATATCTTCACTATCCACGGACTTGGGAGATAATGTCTGTGATCCCTTCGACCCAGTAGAACTTTATATACGAGGAACAAGATTTTCAGTAATCTTCACTGTATTTGACTTGCCTGTTTGGGTGGGAGAGCTGGGTTGCTTTAAGGAAGCTGTGTTTTTGGCGTCTGGGTAAGGAAGGCATTTACTGCTGGCTTGGCGAATCGAATGATTAGAAATCACCATCAGTTCTGGGGAAACGTCTGCCCCATTCTTTGCAGTTCGCCCTGGTTAAGCAAACTCAGCCGGCTCCTCCAGGCCCCAAGGGACACACTTACCCACAATGCACTGCTCTCTCCTGTGGGGCACACCCCCTTCCTTACCCATGCAAAGAGCTGGTCAGATAGGGCAGGTGGAGCGTCTCCAACTCAAGCTGCCGAGACTCCTCGGTGTCCCGATACTTCAGCATCCCCTCCGGAGTGACCACCTCCTTCAGGATCTGGGGTTCCCTGTGATAGGCCACTTGGAGACGGAACACGTAGCCATCCTGAGAGAGAGGGTGGGAGAGTGAGCCATGGGGGGGAGGGGGGGGAGCCCAGAGCCCCCATGCAACGTACAAAAGCTGTGCACTGAACGTGGCTACAGCCCGAGCCAAGGTGCCTTTCCCCTCGGACACCTGTACCCCAAGGCAAGGATGCAGTAGAGAAAGTGGGGGAGGGGTAGCTCAGTGGTTTGAGCATTGGCCTGCTAAGCCCAGGGTTGTGAGTTCAATCCTTGAGGGAGCCATTTAGGAATCTGGGGCCAATCAGTCAGGGATGGTACTTGGTCCTGCCGTGAGGGCAGGGGACTAGACTCAATGTCCTTTCTAGTTCTATGAGGGTATGTCCACACTTGCACCTTCTTTTGAGAGAGTGATGCAAATGAAGAGATTCGAAATTGCAAATGAAGCTGGGATTTAACTATCCTGTGCTTCATTTGCATATTTTCATTATGGTGTTATTTCAAAATAACAGTGTTAAGATGCGGTTATTTCGAGAGAAAACCCTCTTCTTGAAATAACTGGTAAACCTCATTGTATAAGGAATAAGTTATTTCGGGAGAAGGATTTTCTCTTGAAATAACTGCGTCTTAACAGTGTCTGTTATTTTGAAATAACACCATAATGAAAATATGCAAATGAAGCACAGGATAGTTAAATCCCAGCTTCATTTGCAATTTCAAATCTCTTCGTTTGCATCCCTCTCTCAAAAGCGGTGGCAAGTGTAGACATAGCTTGAGAGAGGTATATCTCCATATATTTAAATGTAAAATATTTAAATAGTAACTAGAGCAGGGGTGGGCAGTAATTTTCACCCGGCGGTGGTGGCACTCCACGAATTTGGTAAGCAGTCAGGGCCCAGACATTTCTTATTAACGAAATGATGTCACCATCTATTGCAGGGCTGTGCATGATACGGGCTGCGGGCCGGATTTGGCTTGCCTAAGAATTTGATCCGGCCCGCAAACCACCTCTCGTTGCTCACGATTTATGTCCTGCTGCTGGTGCCACAGAACTTCCTGGAGGTGGAAAATGTCCAGGAAATCGTGTGGCACCGGCAGCAGAACAAACAGTGAGCAGCCAGGGGCAGTCTGTGGGCCAGGAACAAATGGTTAGGCGGGCCAGTCCTGAACCAGAGGTCCTTGCCCAGCCCTGAACCAGAGGTTCTTGGAGATGTGTGGCCCGCCTCCGTCCTCCACGGTGGGTACAAATGTGCTCCGTGCGCCCAGAGCTGGAGAATTCTTCAGGGTTTGCACACGCCTGGCTCATCTCTCTCCCCTTGGTTGGAGGCATAAAGGTGAGGTGGCTGACCACCCCTCCAGGTCCTCCTCCGCCACCAAGCCACAGAAAATCGGAAGCAGAGAGGAAGGAGCAGACCCGCTGGGTGGGTGGGTGCTCTGGGGCTGGTGCACCGCGGGGAAAAATGGTGGGTGCGGAGTAGGGAAGCAAAATGGCGTTTAATTAACTGGTTAAACATTATGTTTCACTGGTTAACTGCTTAAATGGGGGGAAGGGTCTTCTCCAGCCTCCCACCACTCCCGATTCACCATCGCCCATAAGCTTCACCCGTTAAAGGGGACGCGGATCGGTTAACCACGAACAGGCCTTGTGCTGGACACAGCGGCAGCCCCCCATGCCCGCCAATGGGCCCCTTCCTCACACCCCACGGATGCCCCTCCTTCCTCACCTCGCAAGCAGTCCGAAGGCTCTGGGAGAGGGAGGAACCGGAAGGGGGAAGGAAAGTTCTCTCAGGAGGAGTGTCACAGCTCTTCCTGGAGCAAGGGGGGGACCCGTCTGCCCAACCCCCCAGAACCAGTGGAGACCGTCTGTGCCTCTGCCAGGGAAGACCTGGATGGTACTGCAGGTGACCAGTGCTCCCGGTGATCTCTCTTTGGTAGGTGGCAGGGAAGTACTGATGCTGCCGGATCACCATCGGGTGCGGAGGGGACTCCAAGACTTGTGGGCTTTCTGCTCACACTCCTAAGACTTAGCAGGTCCGAAGTTTTCTTGGGCTGGGCTTAGGGACTTGCTCGGTTTAGGCAGGGCTGAATCAGACTTTCTGCCTCCAAATCCACTTTGAAGGTGGCTTAGTCTCAATGCTCCCTGCTGCCTGAGAAAGCAAGGAGTGCTCATCCCCATCGGGGTTGAGTCCGGTTGACATACGAGGGGGCTGCCCCAGACTGGGTCTGATCAGTCCTGCGCATAGCCCAGCCCCCAAAAAAGGGTAAGGAGAGCTCCCCAAGAGGAAACTTCTGACAATGGAGGTTATGATCACAACCAACGTACCCTCGAATCTTTTCCGTCCATGTGAGGAATAATTTTATGTACACCAAGGCATGTGCGGATGTGCACCACCAGTAGAAACAAACCCAGCTGTGGGTGCTTTGCTAATCAGCTGGGCAGCATTGGACTCTCCCAAGCGGGTGCCCAAGCGCTCAGCTTACAGGGAACGCTGATCGTGACCGTGCAGTAGAACAAGCTGAGCCAGAGCACACGTGTGGACCAACAGATGCTGCTTCCGGCATTCTCCAGCTCCAGATGCCCATGGTGGAACACACCTAGGGACCAGCCTTCCAAGGAAAAGAGCTGCAAGCCAGCCGCACACCTGGTGGCCCCTGCGACCCGCCAGCCAGAAACCTGGCTCCATGGCCAGCAGTGCCAGGAACTGTACCCCCCCCCCCTTTGGCACAAAAGATTCTTGGCTCCTGAAACCAGACCAGAGCAGGATCCCTGACCCCCCCTCCTCCCGGCCCAGATCCCTTGCCGGTGGCCGCCGGCCGGCAGAGGAGATGGTGCTGCTGACGGAGGATCTCGGCCAGCCGGAGGTGGAAAGCGGCTTTGACGCGTTTGATGGCTTCTTTGTCCTGTGGCCACTGGCCAGGGTTAAAGTGGCAACAAGAACTCGGTGAGCCCAGGCCCGCAGGGAGAGACCGGGCCACGACATGCGGGGACGGGTCGCTCGCTGGCTACAGCCAGGACTCCCAGGTTTGGTTCCCAGCCCTGACGCAGATGCAGGACTCTGCATGTAACCGCGGGCAAGTCTTTTCCCTGCCTTGTGCTTCAGTTTACCTACCTTTCATTGGGGCTATATACGCCGGGCAGGGCTTCTCAGGCAAAGGGAGCAGCGACTCCTTATCCTTGAGCCTCGCGTGGTACGAATAATCCGGTTTCATGGGGGTTGGAGGGAAGACCTAGGAGACAGGCAGACTGGCGCTTCACGGGGTGATACTGGGAAAAGCGGGGGGCACACAGCCAGGAGACAGGTCCCTCCCAGGTTCATATCTAGCCAGTGAGAGCACCGCCACGCAAGCAGCCTTGTGCACGACACTGGCACCTCAGCTTGCCCCAGGGCACGGGTGGGATGTCGCCTGGGGAAGCCGCCCAGAAACAGGGTGGCAGATGAGAAACCTCTGGCTCCGCTCCTCCAGGGCAGCTCCTGGGGTGCTCGGGCGCAAGCGTACGTGCAGCACCCAGCGCAGCGGAGCCCTCTCCCTGACAGGGCCGTGAGAACTGCTGCAGAACAAATTACAGGGCCAGGAGACGATCCGCTCCCCCAGGCAAGTCACAGAACAATTCCCACCGTCGCCAAGGGGCTGGAGCGCCAAGCCCTGCGGCGCCACCAGGCAAGGGCAGCTCCTGGGGTGCTCGGGCGCAAGCGTACGTGCAGCACCCAGCGCAGCGGAGCCCTCTCCCTGACAGGGCCGTGAGAACTGCTGCAGAACAAATTACAGGGCCAGGAGACGATCCGCTCCCCCAGGCAAGTCACAGAACAATTCCCACCGTCGCCAAGGGGCTGGAGCGCCAAGCCCTGCGGCGCCACCAGGCAAGGGCTGGCTTGGGGCCTAGTGC